TAGCGTTGGCTGGGGCACCTGGGTGGCTCAGTCAGTTGAGCATCTGACTCTTGGTTTTGGCTCAGGTCATGATCTAAGGGTCATGAGATCAAGTCGCCCTGCTCAGTGGTGTTTCTGCTAGAGATTCTCCCTCTCCCTCTGCCCTTCTTCTCTCTCTCTCTCTCTCTTTCTCTCAAATAAATCTTCAAAAAAATTTAGTTTTGGACTACCATAGTTTTAATATATTGCAATGTGGTCTGAGACCACATGTTTTAAAGTATAAAAAATTAGGTTGGCATGCAAATATGGCACGTTGCTTATTTTTCTGGATTTCTTTCAAACTCTGGCACCAGGTTTTTTTTTTTTTTTTTTTTAATTAATAATTTTACTGTGACACCTTCCTCTTCATTAGTTACCAGCACAGGAAGAAAACCTTTTGAACATCAGCCAGGCCTTTAAAAGACACTAATAAAATATCTCAGTCACTAGTCTTTCAAATTATGGGACTTGTTAAAAATACCATAAAATGTAAGTGGCGTGAGCAGATTTAGTCTTGACTAAGGAGGTAGGAAACCGATTATTTCTGGCTCACGTCACTGAAGGGGGTGACTCTGATGAAGTCAGAAACACAGTGAGCCCCAGTTTCTTTGCCTGCCAAATGATGCATCGTAGCAGACATGGTGGGTTCTTTTTTTTTTAATTTTTAAATTTTTTCATAAACATGTAATGTATTATTAGCTCCAGGGGTACAGGTCTGTGAATGGCCAGGTTTACACACTTCACAGCACTCACTATATCACATACCCTCCTCAGTGTCCATAACCCCTCCCCCCTGGCCATCCTCAGTTTGTTTTGTGACATTAAGAGTCTCTTATGGTTTGTCTCCCTCCAGATCCCATCTTGTTTCATTTATTCTTTTCCTACCCCCCAAGCCCCCCACATTGCATCTCCACTTCCTCATATTAGGGAGATCATATGATAGTTGTCTTTCTCCGATTGACTTATTTCACTAAGCATAATACCCTCTAGTTCATCCACATCGTCACAAATGACAAGATTTCATTTCTTTTGACGGCTGCATAGTATTCCATTGTGTATGTATATGTATGTGTATATATATATATATATATATATATATATATATATACCGCCTCTTCTTTATCCATTCATGTTGATGGACATCCAGGTTCTTTCCATAGTTTGGCTATTGTGGACATTGCTGCTCTAAACATTCGGGTGCATGTGCCCCTTCAGATCACTACTTTTGTATCTTTAGGGTAAATACCCAGTAGTGCAATTGCTGGGTCGTAAGGTAGCTCTATTTTCAACTTTTTGAGGAACCTCCATGCTGTTTTCCAGAGTGGTTGCACCAGCTTGCATTCCCACCAACAGTGTAGGAGGGTTCCCCTTTCTCTGCATCCTCGCCAGCATCTGTCATTTCCTGACTTGTTCATTTTAGCCATTCTGACTGGTGTGAGGTGGAATCTTATTGTGGTTTTCATTTGTATTTCCCTGATGCCGAGTGATGTGGAGCACTTTTTCATGTGTCTGTTGGCCATCTGGATGTCTTCTTTGCAGAAATGTCTGTTCATGTCCTCTGCCCATTTCTTGATTGGGTTATTTGTTCTTTGGGTGTTGAGTTTGCTAAGCTCTTTATAGATTTTGGATACTAGCCCTTTATCTGATATGTCGTTTGCAAATATCTTCTCCCATTCTGTCAGTTGTCTTTTGGTTTTGTTAACTGTTTCCTTTGCTGTGCAAAAGCTTTTGATCTTGGTGAAGTCCCAATAGTTCATTTTTGCCCTTGCTTCCCTTGCCTTTGGCGATGTTCCTAGGAAGAAGTTGCTGTGGCTGAGGTCGAAGAGGTTGCTGCCTGTGGTCTCCTCAAGGATTTTTTTTTTTTTAAGATTTTATTTATTTATTTGACAGACAGAGATCCACAAGTAGGCAGAGAGAGAGGAGGAAGCAGGCCCACTGCGGGGCAGAGAGCCCGATGTGGGGCTCGATCCCAGGACCCCGAGATCATGACCTGAGCCGAAGGCAGAGGCTTAACCCACTGAGCCACCCAGGCGCCCCACTCCTCAAGGATTTTGATGGATTGACATGGTGGGTTCTTAACCCATCAAATACTTTCACGGGTGCCTCTCCCCCTGTTGTGTTATAGAACTGTGTCCCTCTGTCTTTTTACAGATAAATTGACTGAGTGACCAAACAACAGAAATTTATGTTCTCACAGTTCTGGAGCTGGAAGTCCAAGGTCCAGGTGTTGGCACATTTGGTTTCTTCTGAGGTTTCTCCCCTGGTCTCACAGCTGCCACCTTCTCACTGTGTCCTCATATGGTCCTTCCTCTGTGTGTGTGGGTCTCTGCCCATTTTTCCTCTCAGAAGGACACCAGTCAGACTGGATTAGGGCCCACTCTAACGGCTGCATTTTAACCTCATCACTCCATTAAGGTTCATAAGATCATAAGGTTCATAAGATTCTGGGTACGGCGTGTTAAGGCCCCAACACGTGAATTTGGATGAGACACAATTGAGCATATAACATCTATTTAAAATAACCTTCATTTGTTTTATACAGAGAGATTAGTATAAAGAAGAAACCAAAAATAGCCTTCCACCTATTTAACAAATGCCTATTGTTAAAGAGGGAGGGTAAGTACATGAGAAGATCATTCAAACTGTATTCACGATTATAAAAGGAAAGTTAAGACTCTCTTAGCCCCTTCCTTCCACGCTCAGGTAACCTCTTTAAATACACTGACACAAATGTTTGCTCTGCAGAGTCCAGGTACATTATTGTCTGGTCTGAACATATCATACAAAAACACACATCTGTATATCCCTGCATCCTCTGTAGTGGCATTTTAAATGACTGCATAGTATTCTGTTGTATATGTTGTGGATGTAACTGGTGACCTGCTCATGGGCATCTAGGTTGTCTCCAGGTATCCTGTCCACCCGTATTACCAACAATGGAGTGGGATTCCTGTTAAATACCCATTATGGAAGGAACGGTAGTGAGCCACCTAAGGGACACAAGCGGCCTTCGATTTTGGGGAAGACAGCCTTTGTTTGTCACCTTCCTGTGCACTGGTCCTCATCAGTTGCTGTGAAGGGTATTTCAGGTTTTTTTACCCTCCAGCCCCTGACCATATGCCAGTACCTCCTTCTGGCCTAATGTGGAAGGAGGGGCTTCCCTGGACAGCGTTCGGTCATAGCACACAGCTGTCCTTTCTCCTCAGGAAGAAAGACCAGTCTGAATCATGAACAGGCAGAAACTCTTCTGAGTGAAGTAAAACCATTTTTCTTGTAAGAATTGCTGTTTCTGTGCCCACGATGGCCCATGAATCCTTTCTGGCTGCTTCCACCCTTTGGAGAGGGGCCAGTTTCCTAATGGAATGTAAGCAGTCTTACTGCTAATCAAGATTTACAGCTGAGACCGGGATGCTCGATGGCTCATTGGATTTGCAGACCTGTAAGGCAGCATCCCAGCATCTCTGAGATGAAGTACAGCACAGAGGGCCCAGTCCTGTCCTCCAGGCCCTCCCTCCGTGCTCAGGCCCGGCCTCCTAGCCACAGGTATCATCTGGCGTTATTTTATAAGTTGTACCGCAGTGCACATGTTCTTTGCTGAAGAATTGCGTTCATTTCTGACTCATTTCAGGAAATGAGGCAGTCTATCAGAGGTGTTCTTCATTTTCATTTTCAGACCCACGGAGAATTCATTTTCTCCAGGGATTTCTAACCACATGTGGGCAGTGCTTTATTTACCCAGATGTGAGAAATAGCAGTCATGAACAGCCCTTTTCCAAAGTTGGCCTTACTTCCCTGCAGAACCCAATGGGAAGACCCAGAGGAACTTGGGCTCTTATGAATGTAAATATTTCTGAGGTTTTGGTTTTGAGATGCTTGTGGACATGCTGTGTGTATGGGCTTTGGTGCAGGAAAAATATAATTTAGTAACAGATTTAAAAGGTAGTCTGGAGTGTTTCTAATTACTGTTTGTTTAGCTCACCATTGCCTTAATAAGTGGATTTAAGTAACCTTGGGGGTAAGGAATGTAATGTTCATATTATAGGCAGCCATGCAAATCAAATCCTAACTAACTATTGCAGAGAACACACCATGGAGTCATTTTATATGTATTCCGTTGAATTTTAAATTCAGAACTGAGAGCATTTTGGAATAAGCATCTTTCTACCTGTCATGTGTTGGTGTGAATTATACATATGTCCAAAATCAACCCTACTGTGTGCTACAGTTCCATTTAAAATCCGTCACTGGCTTTGGCATGCCGTTCTCCTTTTAATTTGACCCAAAAGAGAGGGAGAAACTTAAAATCTTCTCTTCCCTTCTCTTTGCCATCCTTCAGTGGCTGTCCTAGGAAATGGAAGTGTGAAGAGCCCCTAGAACAGTGGTTCACCACCTTGGCTGCACCTTGGAATCCGCCTGGGAACTTTGAAAGATAAAGATGCCTGGGTCCCAGAGATTCTGGTTTAATTGTTGTGAATGCAGCCTACCTCGGGATGTTGAAAAGCTCCCCAGAAGGTGTTCTTGAGCACTAGGGGGTTGAGAACCACAGACTTGAGAGACTTCTCATCCAGTGGTTCCCCACGATGACTGCAGACCAGCATCACCTGGAAGGCAGCTATGCTCACTTCTATACCACCATCGCCAATCAGACCAGCATCACCTGGAAAGCTGTTGAGAGAAACACAGGTGCTCTACCAATCGAAACCACATTTCTGGAGGAGGGAGCTAGTATTTTTAGAAAGCTCCCAGAGGTTCCTGATGCATGGCAAAGGTTAGGGTAAATGGACATAATCTAACTATCCCATATCACAGATGGGAAAAAAAAAGAAAACTCGAAAGGGCAAGTGGCTTGCTCAAGGTTGGATCCCAGTTGTTGCAGGAGCAGGTCTGGAACTCGGGTCTGACCCTCTGTCTGGTGTCTCTGCTGCCTGCCTCCCCACCTTCTGTTTGTCTTTTGTATTTATTGATGCTTCCTCATCCCTCAGGTGATGTTGCTGCCTCCAAGAGGCCTTTTCTGACTTCTCACCCATCCAGGCCAGGTAAGATGCCCTTCCTCTCTGTTTGAACAGCACCCCTAGCTCTCCTCTCGGACTGTCAGCTCCAGGAGCCCAGGAACCTCACCCTCCTTGTCCTTTCTGTAACTTGCTGGCATCTTGTAGGGTTCTGGATCGTTTGTTGAGTTGAAGTACCCCGATTTTTTTTATTCTTCCATTAGTCCACATGGATTGCTTAAAATAATCCATTTATTTCTATATGTTGGCTTCCAGAAAAAGTTCTGAAAGCAAAACTTACTTGTCTTTCTAGAGCCCACTGTATTGTGGGTCAAGATCTCATATACTGTGACTTTCTACCCCCATCTTCCAGAACAGAGGTTTTTGGGGGAAAAATTTCAGGGCGCTTTTGATGTAAATGAGAACAGAATTTCAGTGACCTCCCAAGTTGCTCAAGATACTTATAACATCTAGGGACTTTTGAATAACATACTGACAAGTGTGGGTGATGGAAGTGGAGGGTAGCAGCATGTGGCGTCTACCTTAAGACAGAAAGTTGAATCAAGAAAACAACGCTATTTCATGGAAGTATGTTTTAAGGACTAAATTATCTCCTTTATCATACTGCAGACATAACTCTGAGAAGCCACATTCTGTTAGCAGAGCTGAATCAAATCTTTTGGCTTCTCTGGATTCATGTGCTAAATTATTTTCAATTCATAGTGATTGATTCAATTCAGTTCAATTGATTAAAAAAAAAATAACAACAAACCAAAACTGTGAATCTTCTTTCATCCCTGTTGACATAAGTTTCATTCTTGGTCAGTACCTTATTTTTATGTGAAAAAATATTCCCAGGTTTGCAGTGTTTGTGTTGAGTCTTCTGGCTGTATCAGAGGGCTGACTCCAAAGGCAGGCTTCTACTGCATCTCTTGAGCCGCGTGGCCAGGAGGCGGCACACAGGGGTCACAGAGAGAAGCTGTTTTCCTGTGTGGAGAATTGGGGGCTTCTGGAGCCAGGACTGTAAACTGGGCTGAGAGCCGTGGGGTAAATGTGAAGATGATGTCGAGATGTTGCAGTCAGGAGGGAAGGATGGCCAGAGTGTGTGGTCTCCGATATCACGGTCTCCTGCTCTGTGATCAGGAAAGGGGCAGTGTGGAGGCGTGGATGTGAGGCCCCTGTGTAGTCGGGGGGAATCTTCCTTAAGTGGTCTTAGACATTTCAGGAGAAACCAAAGTCGTTTCGCTGGAGGTAAATATAAAACATTTTAATATTAAAATAATTTTGGTTATACCGTGGAATAGAAAGTGCAGGGTTTGTCTGACTTCCTTTTTAAGATGAAATATGAAGTCTTAAAGAAGCACCTGTATCCAATTGCTCCTTTGCTGCTATTTGGGTGAAAAATGGACAGACTGATAAAACTTTTTGCTAAGTAACCAGCTTCTATCAGATCAATTTCAGAGGCTCAGACCAATTTCAGAGGCTCAGCAGTACCTTGTGGGAGAGGAGGGTTTATCAGATATGTAAGACACGGTGTTCAGTGTTTCAACCTCATTTCGCCGTCAGATCATTACGACCATCCTGCAAATTAGGACTTGTTCACACCAGTGTTTACATGTGAAGAGGGGTGTGTGTTTGTGTGTGTGTGTGTGTGCGTGCGCGCGCGCACGCGCGCGCACATGTGTGCACCTATCCACCAGGGAGTGGAGCCAAAATTTAAATCCAGGTCTATCTGATTCCAAAGTGCTTATAATTTTCTAACCAACATGGCCTCTTACGTCATGAGAGTGGAGAAGTCTCCAGAAGAGAGTTTTACCATTGCGGTAGACGCCGGCTGACTTTAGCTTTTCTTACGGTGGCTATTTAACATTCATAAGTTAACATTTATAAGCTTCTGTGACACAGTTAAAAGCATTTCTTCATAATGTCCTATAAAGTTCTGACTTTAAAATGGCATGTCCTCGCGGCAGTGACACTCCGAGACTTCCAGTGTATTCATTGTCATGGTTAAAAGAGGGGAAGGGAATAGTTAGTGATGGCCATTTTTGATCCAAACACTTAACAGCATCAGGTAGAATTTGGTAATCTACCTCTCAGCCATCACACGTTTGACTTGAGGGAGGCAGCAAAGCAAAATGGTGGGTGATTTGCCTTTGGTGATGTGATTCCTGGGTTTGAAAATCCTGGCCCTGCGGCCTGCAAGCTGTGTGATCTTGGGCACATCACCTAACCCCTCTGTGCCTTAGTTTCCTCATCAGGGGGCCTTCATGACTTGATTAAACTTGCTGTTTTAAAAATTAAATGGCATAAGGCCTACGAAGGGCTTGGAATATTATGTGATGCAAAGTAAGTGCTTGGTAGATGTTTAGCTATTCTTAGCCGACAAAACTAGATGCCACATGACCCAGCAATTCCACTCCTAGGTATTGCCTTGAGAAATGAAAACCGTGTCCACCAAAGACCTTCTAGTAAAAGTCTATAGAAGTTTTATTCATAATAACTACAACCTAGAGACAACTCAAATGTCCGTCCACTGGCAGATGGATAAACTGTGATACAGGCACACAGTGGAACAGTGTTGAGTAGCAAAAAGGAACAGATTACAGATACAAGCATCAGAGTGGATAAAATCTCAGAAGCATTATGCTGAGTGAAACAAGCCAGATATAAAAGTCTGCATACGATTTGATTCCATGTATGTGATATTCTGAAAATGCAGAACCATAGAGAGAAATCATCACTTGCCAAGGACCAGAAGCAAGTGGAGGAAATTGACTATGGAGGGGCTTTGAGAGGGAGCTACATGACTGTATACGCTAGTCAAAATGCACCAGACTTGGGGTAAATTTTTACTGTATATAAAATTAAACCTTAGTAAACCTGATTTTTAAAAAAGAAGAAAGTCTGGTACCACAACATAGCAAAGAGGGAGAGGGGAAGGGGTTAGAAAGCATAATCAGAAGTTGCAGAAATCGCAGATACTCTGCACTTTCAGGGGCTCTACGAGATGGGTGGAATGATTGCATTAATTTTCCTCTCCCAGGCTGTGAGTTAGAAAAATGTAGAGACCTGTGGAATGGTTCTGTCCTGCCCAAGCGTGTCTGATTCTCTGCTGTGAGCACTGGTCTGCTATGCCATTGCGTTTAAGCCTACCCACGAGAGTTGCCTTTATTTCCCAGGCATGGGGATCTCCTGGGTGGCTTCCTGGGAGAATCCGAAGGAGGAAGGACTGGCCACGTGAGGAGGCACTCGTGGAAACAGACTGTTGGTGTTTGAGATGAACTGAGGCTTACTCTTCCAAATTACTAAGTCATCTGAGTGCATTTCTGGGTAGGAAATGTTCTCCCAGAGCATTGTTCATTCATCCTGAGTCATGGAGGCCCTAGCCCTTCACCGTGGAGCCCTTGCTTATCTTAGCCACACTGACCACAGCTGACCACTCCCTCCTTCCTGAAATTCTTTCTTTACTCGGTTTCTGTGATGCTGCTCCCTTATGATTCTGTTTGCACCTCCCTTGTTTGTCCTGCTTGCACCTCCTTTCTTTTTCCTGTCTCCCCTGCTGGATCCTTCTCTTCCTAGTCCTTTGCCTCTAACTTTGGAGTGCTGATGACTTTGTTCTCTGACTGCTTCCCATCTCGGCTCCCTACTTAGGTGATATTCATTTCCAGAGCCGTAAATACCGTCTATATGGTGATGACTTCCAGATACCTCTTCCCAGTCCCTGTCTCTCTCTGGCTTTTCAGCTGCCTGCTTTACCTCTTTCACTTGGTTGTCTCCTAGACATTGCAGACGTGGCATGTGCAAAACCAACTCCTCATTTGTTTTCTTTCGTCGTTCCTCATCTCTGCAGTTACTCCACCCAGTGGCTCAGGCCCCCAAACCTGAAGTCTTCCTGGATACCTGCCTCTCTTTCACACCTTCTGTTCAACCCATTAGCATCTATTCCAGATCCAAGCACTCCTCATCTCCCACCCCACACCTAAGTCCCAGCCCCGGTCACCACCACCACCACATCTTGCCGGGACTTTGGAATCTTCCTTTCTCTACTCTTTACTTTGTGGTCTGCGTTCACACAACGGCTGTGGGAATTCTTCTGTTTTATACTTTTATACTATCTGCAGTGGCTTCTCCACAAACAGTATGAAGTCCTGACTCTTGGCCATGGACTGTAATGCCCTTGCCATCACTCTGTCCTCGTCTCTTGTTCTGCCCATCTCTCAAGGGGCTTCAGCCACACCAGCCCCTCACTGCCCCTTGACATGTCACCCTCCTGCCTGGAACATTGCTCTCATTCCCATCTCCCCCTGCTCTCCCCTCCCAACCCCTTTCTGTCTAGGATTCTCGTCTTGTCCTTCAATCAGTTCTCCCTCGGACGCCACCCCTGGGGGCTGGCCGGCTCCCCTGACTCCCCTGGACAAAACACCACCATTACTCTTGGTTCCCTTCACCTGCTTTGTTCAACTTCAAACATTTGAAGTCAAAGCATTTATCTCTACCTGAAATTGTCTGTATTTGTTTATTGCCTCTGTCCCCCCAGTAGTTCATAAGCTGCATATGAACACCGTTATGATGCTCTTTAAGTGTTTTTTTTTTTTTTAAGATTTTATTTATTCATTTGACAGACAGAGATCACAAGTAGGCAGAGAGGCAGGCAGAGAGAAAGGGGGAAGCAGGCTCCCCACTGAGCAGAGAGCCCGATGCGGGGCTCCATCCCAGGACCCTGAGAACATGACCAGAGCAGAAGGCAGGGGCTTTAATCCACTGAGCCACCCAGGCACCCCTCAATAAGTGTTTTTGAACGACTGAAGGAATAAGTGAATTAATGCTCATGTACCCCTATGTTAAAAACTAAAGAACCAGACACCTTCTTAAACCCTCTCCATCTCTCACCCCATTTCTTGGTCCTTTAACTATGGTGGAATTTCTAAAATGTTGTCTAGATGTGCTATAGTTCTTCATTACCCATTTCTTCTTTACTCTGCTAAGATCTGCTATTCTTTCCCATCACTCGTGAAATTTCTCAGGGTCATTCGAGCTCTGTGTATTGC